TTATTATTATATTATTATTATTATTATTATTATTATTATTATTATTATTATTTCGCGCATTTCTACCCCACCCTTCTCAACCCCCGAGGGGGGACTCAGGGTGGCTTACAAAAGGCACAATCCGATGCCAACACAAACAATAAGATAAAAACATATATCAACATCAATTATAAAACAATTAAAACAATCAATTCTACATCACAATCAATAAAACCAATCTAATGCTCAACGTTCGCCAGCTCAGAATCCATAAATTCATTCCACATTGTCAAATCCTTTTACTGACACAAAAACACAGTATGTCACAACAAACAAGATTTGTATCACAAAATCACAAGTCGAACCCTCCCCAAGCGTCTAGGACTGTGTGATGTATTTTTGAAGGATGCGTGCAGATCCAAGTCAGGTGATCTTTTGCAGTTGACAGATCATGATTTTGTCAATGTTTATTGTTTCCAATGAGGCTGAGATCTTTTGGCACGGCACCCAGTGTGCCAATGACCACCAGGACCACCTGTACTGGCTTATGCCAGAGCCTTTGCAGTTCAATTTTGAGGTCCTGATAACGGCTGAGTTTTTCCTGTTGTTTGTTTGTTGTTGTTGTTATTCAACGAGTATCTCATGGAGTCTAAACCAATTCAATCTAGTTTGTGGCAGCCACAAAAACAACGTTTCTGGAGTATAACATGTTAGCGTTTGCGGAAGATTTGCACAGGTTTAGAAGAAAACATGGATTCTGGAGACGTCTGGTTACAAAGCAGGTTCAATTTACTTAGAGCAGTTCCAAAACACATCCATTACAGTAAGCGAGCAGACATGAAGTACACAGTACGCAGGACAAAGGAAGTAGAAGTGTAAACAATTCTGCAGCTGCTTGGCAGATACCAGACACTCCCTAATTTTCTCACAACTCTACACAGAGAGTATCTCAGGACTACTTTCTCACAGCCTCTCACATAAACATACATCACAGCAATACAATCTTGTGGCATCCATATTTCTACAGCATGAAAATACATTTAAAACACATTACATACTTCAACATATATTGACATAACTATTTTCAAAGTAGTGACCACACAATTGAACAGGAATAATATTTTCAAGCCTGGAACAGAAATTTTGTTGTTGTTGTTGTCGACATTCCATATGTTCAGGGATAGCTGAAATGTGGGGATTTTTCCATACTACATACTTAGGGAGATGGCATAAGAACCACTACTTGCTCCATCAACCGGGAGGGGTAAATGGGTTAACCACATAAATACAAAGAATCTGAAGTGCTCCCAGGCATTGTTGTTGTTGCCCTCAAGTTGTTTATGATCTCAGGCCATCCTGAGGCACATCTGCAATCTTTGTTCAGAACAGGTTTGCCAGGCTGAGATAGCCAGCAGCCACCCCATGGGTTGCATGGCCAAGCGGGGAATCAACCCATTCTCTCCAGAGTTGTAGGTTTCCATCTAGCTTGTTTGCTTTTGCCCAGAGAGTTGTTTTCCCCAACAACGCAAAATTCTGCCCACAGAAAACGGAGACTTGGAGATTTGAGATCTGGAAACTTCAATGGTTGACATATATTCCTCACAGTCTGTATTTATTATTTATTTATTTATTTATTTATTTCTGCATTTGTTGACCGCCGCTCTCAGCCCTGGGGCGACTCGCGGCGGTGTACAACATGTAAAAACAGTTACAAAAAGCATACAATACATCGACATAACCATAATTACCTATTAATCTAAATTACACTAACTAATCCGCATCGTCATAACATAGAATCATAGCCAATCTCATAATCCGTATTCCGTTCCAGTTGTCATTACCCGTTAATGTAGCACTCAGTTAAATGCCTTCTCGAATAGCCAGGTCTTTAGGCTCTTACGGAAAGCCATAAGGGAGGGCGCCTGTCTGATGTCAACAGGGAGGGTGTTCCACAGCCGGGGGCCACCACCGAGAAGGCCCTCTCTCTCGTCCCCGCCAGACGTGCCTGAGAGGCAGGCGGGATCGAGAGAAGGGCCTCCCCAGATGATCTCAAGGCCCTCGTGGGCTCATAGGCCGAGATGCGGTCCGAAAGGTATTTTGGGCCGGAACCGTTTAGGGCTTTGTAGGATAACACCAGCACCTTGAATTGGGCCCGGTAGCAGATCGGCAGCCAGTGGAGCTGGGACAACAAGGGCGTTGTGTGCTCCCTGCGTCCCGCTCCCGTTAGTAACATGGCTGCCGCGCGCTGGACTAGCTGAAGCTTCCGGGCCGTCTTCAAGGGCAGCCCCACGTAGAGAGCGTTGCAGTAGTCAAGGCGGGATGTGACCAGAGCGTGTACCACCGTGGCCAAGTCCGACTTCCCAAGGTACGGGCGCAGCTGGCGCACGAGCCTAAGCTGTGCAAATGCTCCCCTGGTCACCCTGAAACCTGGGGATCCAGGCTCAAAGATGAATCCAGGGTCACACCCAAGCTGCGAACCTGCGCCTTCAAGGGGAGTGCGACCCCGTCCAGCACAGGCTGTAACCCTATACCCTGTTCGGCCTTGCGACTGACCAGGAGTACCTCTGTCTTGTCTGGATTTAATTTCAGTTTTTTTATACTAGTTTGGGGACCCCGCGGTGCCCGGGTTATTTGAGAAGAGTATTTGTTTGTCTGTGCTTCAAGTTTCGTCAGTGTGTGCAGGTGAAGTACAACTCCCATACATAAGTCCCATTATCTTTTTTTTTTAAATCATTTTTTATTGAGATTTATAAATATACATCCACAAGGGGTAGAGGGGGTAGGAAGGGATGGGGGGGGGATTGGTGGGGGGAGGAGGGGGGAGGGGAGGGGGAAGGGGTGTGTGCGCGGAATGTATGTGGAGACCGGGTTAGGGGGGAGTTAGGAGAGGGGGGAGGGGCCTGGGGGGGTATCACTTCCCGTCAGTCTTCCGGGTATCTTCTTTTCCTGTTACTTCTTCATCCCAATGCCGAATTGGACTTCTATAGTTCTTTTATTCAAATGCAGGACAGATCGATGTGTATTGGGACCTCTTTAGCTATAATATATTCTTTGAAGCCAGACCAATCTGTGCGGTTGTGAGATCCTTTGAGTCTTACATAAGTCCCATTATCCATGCTCCATTTTCCTCCAAACCCCACCAGGATGTAGAGTGGGTCATGGGGGCTCTGTGTGCTAAGTTTGGTCTTGATCAGTCATTGGTGAGTGTCACCGTGGAGGTACTGCATATAACATCCTCCATGGTCCACCCTCCTCCAAAATGCACCAGGGTGTAGAGTGGGTCATGAGGAGTCTGTGTCCCAAGTTTTGTCCTGTTCTGTGATTTGTGGGGGCCGCAGTGTTCCATGGGAAGTGAGTCGGGTGAAGGTACTGCAAATCCCATCGTCTGTGATCCATCCTCCCCCAAACTTCACCAGGGTATGAAGGGGTTCATGAGGGTTATGTGTGTTAAGTTTGGTCCAGGTCCATCATTCATGTTGGTCCCAATGGTCTCACAAAGTGAGTGAAGGTATTGCAAGTCCTGCCATCCATGGCACGTCCTCCCCCAAACCACACCAGGATGTCAACTGGGTCATGGGGTTTCTGTGTTCCAAATTTGGCCCAGTCCCATCATTGGTGGGTATTGCTGTGGTCTGTGGGAGCTGGAGCGATGGAAAGTACTGCAAATCCCATCATCCATGTCTGACTGCTACTTCCCGACGAATGTCCGGTGGTGCAATACTGGCTGAACAGTATCATTTATTCAGTACTTTCAGTGGGAAGGAGCCTATGATACTGTGAACCACCTCCTCCTCCTGAGAAAAATGTATAATATCACAAAGGACGACCGTCTCACCCGCCTCATAGGAAACCTGCTACAAAACAGGAGCTTTTTTGTTGAGTTCCAGGGCCAGAGAAGCAGATGGCGGAAACAGAAGAACGGCCTGCCTCAGGGGAGCGTGCTTGCTCCATCCATGTTCAACATCTACACAAATGACCAGCCACTGCCAGAAGGGACAGAGAGTTTCATCTATGCTGATGATCGTGCCATTACTACGCCCAGCGGTGACCAGAGCTCTCGAAGTCGGGTGTCTACTGCCTTTACCGGGAACAACCAGCTGCTCCTAATCCCATCTAAAACCCGAGATGCTCTTCCTTACGAACCGATCCGCCTCGAGCTCTGCGGAGCCGGGCGGACTCGGGCATACAGACACCCCATGTGGCGTCCCTTGCCCGGCTTGACCTCCCCTCGATGCCTGGCTATCAGCCCCCCGTGGTGCTCGCCCCAATTATCCGCAAGTGATTGGCCCCACCTGGGATCCACAACCCGACCCGTGAACCTTGCTTGCTTATGTACGGCTTGGTGTCGCGCCGGTGGCCCACCCTCACACGTACACGTGGATGTGGCTCTCAGCGCCTTCCCTTATACCGGGTGTTGTGCCCTCACCTCCTGGAGCCACTTCCCCTTTCGGCCGGTCTTGGCGCCCGCTCTCGGGCCGTCGCCGCCCTCGGGAAGGCCCCGGCAGTGACTCTCCGCCTCCCTGTTGGGTCTCCACCAGCCGTCCCGCTCCCCTCCAGACTCGTTTCTCGCACCGCGCCTCGTTCCCCCCCGCCCGCGCGATTCCACCTGGCGGCCCCCCCCCCCTCCCATCCTCGTGCTCCCCTTGCGCTCCGGGCCCCAGCCGCCCCCGCCGCGGGCCCCTCTGGACTGCGCTGCCCCCGGCCGCGCTTCTGCACCGGCGCTGCCGCCCCTTCTGCCCTGGGGCCCCGGGAATCCACACTGCGAGTGCAGAAGAGCAAACCACTGACCACCTGCTGCAATGCACCCTGAGCCCTGCCACATGCACAATGGAGGACCTTCTTGCAGCAACACCAGAGGCACTCCAAGTGGCCAGATACTGGTCAAAGGACATTTAATCAACTACCAAGCTTGCAAACTTTGTGTTTTGTCTGTTTGTTTGTTTTGTTAAAAATGTAATACAACTGTCTGGTTGCTCCTGACACGATAAATAAATAAAGTCTGCGATTTTTTTGCCTTGCAGGCTATGCCGACTCCACTGGCCATCCGAGCGAGAACGGGTTCACGACGGACATCCTCTGCGTTTACAACTGGGTCAAAGCACGGAGCGGGAACAGCACCGTAATCTTCTGGGGTCACTCCCTCGGCACGGGGTGCGTTTGGCTTTGGCCTGGGTTCAGGCATGGGCAAACTTGGGCCCTCCCTCCAGGTGTTTTGGACTTCAACTCCCACAATTCCTAACAGCCTACCGGCTGTTGGAATTGTGGGAGTTGGAGTCCAAAACACCTGGAGGGAGGGCCCAAGTTTGCCCATGCCTGATCTAAATGGTATTTGTTGATAGGTTGACTGGTTTCTTCACAAACTGCATTTTACTACTGGTAGGAGAATCTAACCTCCCTATTTCTGATTTCCTTGCAGAATTGCAACCAACACGGCAAAGAAGCTGCAAGAAATAGGTAATTGCAAATAAGAGTGGGAAGGGAAGGGGCCAACCTTCGAGGGGAGCTTGGGAGAGTGACTTTTGCAAGAGGATTTTAGGAGATATTGTCAAATAAAGTAACTTTCCCAATCTCTGCAAAGAGGATGGGGAGGATCTGTGTCTTCCCTGCCAGTGTGGTCATCTTGGCCGGAGGATTCTGGGCACTGTGGTCACACAAAGTAACTTTTCCAACTTCTTGGAAGGCCTTTTCCAACTTCTGCAAAAGGCCTTCCAAGAAAATGTTTCTCGAGGCTGAAGAGAGGGGGTCAGGAAGACAGTTCCACCTTGTCTCCCGTGCTGTGGGATTTTGGGATTTTGGCCCTGCATCAAGAGGAGCCTAGTGTCTAGGTCCAGGGAAGTCATGCTACCCATGCTCTATTCTGCCTTGGTTAGACCACACCTGGAATATTGTGTCCCATTCTGGGCACCACTTCAAGAGAGATATTGACAAGCTGGAATGTGTCCAGAGGAGGGCGACTAAAATGATCAAGGGTCTGGAGAACAAGCCCTGAGGAGCGGCTTAAGGAGCTGGGCATGTTTAGCCTGAAGAAGAGAAGGCTGAGAGGAGATATGATAGCCATGTATAAATATGTGAGAGGAAGCCACAGGGAGGAGGGAGCAAGCTTGTTTTCTGCTTCCCTGGAGACTAGGACGTGGAGCAATGGCTTCAAACTACAAGAAAGGAGATTCCATCTGAACATGAGGAAGAACTTCCTGACTGTGAGAGCCGTTCAGCAGTGGAACTCTCTGCCCCGGAGTGTGGTGGAGGCTCCTTCTTTGGAAGCTTTTAAACAGAGACTGGATGGCCATCTGTCAGGGGTGATTTGAATGCAATATTCCTGCTTCTTGACAGAATGGGGTTGGACTGGATGGCCCATGAGGTCTCTTCCAACTCTTTGATTCTATGATTCTATGATTACAACGCATGCACAAAACCATATATATACATACATACGCACACACACAAACACAAATATATACACATATATTTTCTTTATTTATTTATTTAGCAGTGTTGTATACTGGTCTTCTCACCTCCGTTCGAGGGACTCAGGCCGGTTTCCAACATCAATATTGCAGGCAGTCATTAAGACATCATATTCTAAAATCACACTAAAACATTAAAATAGCAAAATACAATCATATAATTACAGTGGTCAGTCGTCATCAAAAATCATTATTCGTCGTCATCCATCCATATCACAGGATCATGGCTCATTCGTCGAATGCCAATCCCCAAAGCCAAGTTTTCACCTGTTTCCTGAACGTTAAGATAGAAGGGGCAGTTCTGATCTCCAGTGGAAGGGAGTTCCAGAGTCGAGGGGCCACCGCCGAGAAGGCCCTGTCTCTCGTCCCCACCAGCCGCACTTGTGAGACCGGTGGGATCGAGAGCAGGGCCCCTCCAGACGATCTTAGCAATCTTGATGGTGCATAGCGGAGGATACGTTCGGACAGGTAAACTGGGCCAGAGTCGTTTAGGGCTTTATAGGTTAACACCAGCACTTTGAATTGTGCTCAGAAGCTAATTGGCAGCCAGTGGAGCTGACGCAGCAGAGGAGTAGTATGCTCCCTGTACCCCTCTCCTGTTAGTAATCTGGCTGCCACTCGTTGGACTAATTGCAGCTTCCGGGCAGTCTTCAGAGGCAACCCCACATAGAGAGCGTTGCAGTAATCTAAACGGGATGTAACCAAAGCGTGGACCACCGTGACCAAGTCAGACTTCCCAAGGTACGGGCGCAGCTGGCGCACAAGTTTTAATTGTGCAAAAGCTCCCCTGACCACCGCTGAAACCTGGGGTTCCAGGCTCAGCGATGAGTCCAGGATCACTCCCAAGCTGCGAACCTGCGTCTTCAGGGGGAGTGTAACCCCGTCTAACACAGGCTGTAACCCTATGCCCTGTTCGGCCTTTCGACTGACCAGGAGTACCTCTGTCTTGTCTGGATTCAGTTTCAATTTGTTAGCCCTCATCCAGTCCATCACAGCGGCCAAGCACCGGTTCAGGACTTGAACAGCCTCCTTAGTAGCAGGTGGGAAGGAGTGACAGAGTTGGACATCATCTGCGTACAGGTGACACTGCACCCTGAAACTCCGGATGATCTCTCCCAACGGCTTCATGTATATGTTGAACAACATAGGGGTCAGTATTGAACCCTGCGGGACTCCACAGTACAATGGCCGTGGGGTCGAGCAGGAGTCGAGCAACACCTTGTGGGATCGCCCCACGAGAAAGGACTGGAGCCATTGTGAAGCAGTCCCCCCAAGACCCATTCCCGCGAGGCGTCCCAGAAGGATACCGTGGTCGACGGTATCGAAGGCCGATGAGTGGTCCAGCAGAACCAACAGGGACACACTCCCCCTGTCCATGCATATACACACACAACACACATAAACACAGACTGGGCCACAGCAATGCATGGCAGGGGGCGGCTAATAATATAATATAATATATTATAATATAATATAATATAAACCAATAATAAATAAATAGGCTTCATGTCACCCAGTGTAGTAACTCATAGAATCGCCCCATGGCTTTCCTCCCACATAATTTGGCAAAGAAAATACCAGAGTTGTTAAATACCTGTATCCCTCTTTGATTCTCCTGCATCCTGAAATTGTGCAGATGTATTAACACACAGAGAGAGAGAGACACCACACCTGAATATTTTACTCCTAATGCTGACCTAGGACAGCATGACCCAGTCTACAAAAGAGCAGAGAAATATCAGAGAATCCAAATTGTATGCTTAGCCAATTTAGCAGCAGGAAATGTGTCTCTCAGTAATATGAATTGCAAATTCAGTGGATTGATGTGAGTTTTTTGGGCTGTGTGGTCATGTTCTAGTAGTATTGTCTCATGATGTTTCACCTGTATCTGTGGTAAGTTTCTGTTCACAGTGGAGCAGGTGAATGTCCAGGATGAATGTTGTGATTAGCAAGCTTGAATTAGCCTTTACTGATTATTTGTTTCTTTACGGCATTTCTACCCTGCCTTTCTCTACCCTGGAGATAACCATGAATTTTGCAAAGTCAATCAGTGAGAGTATCTGCACAGAGGTCGCCTGTCCTTTGTTTCCTGGAGGCATCCCTTGTTTAGGGGACGTTAACTGGCATTTAATTATTTGCTGTCTGGAGTTCTCCTGTTTCTGAGTGGTGTTTTTAGACTGCAATGCCCATCGGCCTTAAGGACCACAACTAGTGATGACACATGGTGGATGCTATACCATGAAGCCTGTGTGTCTCCTCCTCTTGGTTAGAAGGAAAAGGAAAGACGCCAAAGCGACGAGTTGCAAAGCTCTTGGGAAATCAGGGATGAATAGATTGAATGGGATTCAAGATAAGTGTGAGAATTGCACCCAGAATATAATTTCCAAAATATAGTTCACACCCAAAATATAATTCGTACCCAAAATATAATTTGCAACCAAAATATAATTTGCACCCAAAATATGATTTGCACCCAAAATATAATTTGCCAAAGCGAAGAGTTGCAAAGCTCTCAGGAAATCAGGGACGAATAGATTGAATGGGATTCAAGAGAAGTGTGAGAATTGCACCCAAAATATAATTTCCAAAATATAATTTGCACCCAAAATATAATTTCCAAAATATAATTTGCACCTAAAATGTAATTTGCAACCAAACATAATTTGCCAAAGCGAAGAGTTGCAAAGATCTCAGGAAATCAGTGATTATTTAATAGATTGAATGGAATTCAAGATAGGTGTGAGAATTGCACCCAAAATATAATTTGCACCCAAAATATAATTTGCCAAAGTGAAGACTTGCAAAGATCTCAGGAAATCAGGGATGAATAGATTGAATGGGATTCAAGATAAGTGTGAGAATTGCACCCAAAATATAATTTGCCAAAGCGATGAGTTGCAAAGATCTCAGGAAATCAGTGATTATTTAATAGATGGAATGGAATTCACGATAGGTGTGAGGATTGCACCCAAAATATAATTTCCAAAATATCATTTGCACCCAAAATATAATTCACACCCAAAATATAATTTGCAACCAAAATATAATTTGCCAAAGCGATGAGTTGCAAATATCTCAGGAAATCAGTGATTAATAGATTGAATGGAATTCAAGATAGGTGTGAGGATTGCACCCAAAATATAATTTCCAAAATATAATTTGCAACCAAAATATAATTTGCCAAAGCGACAAGTTGCAAAGATGTCAGGAAATCCGTGATTAATAGTTTGAATGGAATTCAAGATAAGTGTGAGAATTGCACCCAAAATATAATTCGCACCCAAAATATAATTCGTAGCCAAAATATAATTTGCCAAATTGAAGAGTTGCCAACATCTCAGGAAACCAGTGATTATTAAATAGATTGAATGGGATTCAAGATAGGTGTGAGAATTGTGCCCAAAATATAATTTCCAAAATATAATTTGCACCCAAAATATAATTTGTACGCAAAATATAATTTGCCAAAGTGACGAGTTGCAAAGATCTCAGGAAATCAGTGATTATTTAATAGATTGAATGGGATTCAAGATAGGTGCGAAAATTGCACCCAAAAAATAATTTCCAAAATATAATTTGCAACCAAAATATAATTTGCCAAAGTGATGAGTTGCAAAGATCTCAGGAAATCAGGGATGAATAGATTGAATGGGATTCAAGATAGGTGAGAGAATTGCACCCAAAATATAATTTCCACAATATAATTTGCAACCAAAATATTATTTGCCAAAGCGACGAGTTGCAAAGATGTCAGGAAATCCGAGGTTAATAGTTTGAATGGAATTCAAGATTAGTGTGAGAATTGCACCCAAAATATAATTCGGAACCAAAATATAATTCGTAGCCAAAATATAATTTGCAACCAAAATATAATTTGCAACCAAAATATAATTTGCCAAAGTGAAGAGTTGCCAAGATCTCAGGAAACCAGTGATTATTAAATAGATTGAATGGGATTCAAGATAAGTGTGAGGATTGCACCCAAAATATAATTTCCAAAATATAATTTGCAACCAAAATATAATTTGCCAAAGTGGCGAGTTGCAAAGATTTCAGGAAATCAGGGATGAATGGATTTAATGGGATTCAAGGCAAGTGTGAGAATTGCCCCCAAAATATAATTTGCAAAATATAATTTGCACCCAAAATATAATTGCCCCCCCGGAACAGTGCCCCGCCTAGACCTCAGTGATAATAGATGCCCTGGATGCGACGGTGCCGCCTTGCCCACCCACACAATATTAATTTCACAATAATTGTACTCAAACTATACTAAGCACCCAAAATATTGCCTCAAAATCAGGCCCAGGTGAGTTGCAAAGATCTCAGGAAACCAGTGATTAATAGATTGAATGGGATTCAAGATAGGTGTGAGGATTGCACCCAAAATATAATTTCCAAAATATAATTTGCAACCAAAATATAATTTGCCAAAGCGGCGAGTTGCAAAGATCTCAGGAAACCAGTGATTAATAGATTGAATGGGATTCAAGATAGATGTGAGAATTGCACCCAAAATATAATTTCCAAAATATAATTTGCAACCAAAATATAATTTGCCAAAGCGGCGAGTTGCAAATATCTCAGGAAATCAGTGATTAATAGATGGAATGGAATTCACGATAGGTGTGAGGATTGCACCCAAAATATAATTTCCAAAATATCATTTGCACCCAAAATATAATTCACACCCAAAATATAATTTGCCAAAGCCATGAGTTGCAAATATCTCAGGAAATCAGTGATTAATAGATTGAATGGGATTCAAGGCAAGTGAGAATTGCACCTAAATTATAATTTGCACCCAAAATATAATTTGCCAAAGCGAAGAGTTGCAAAGATCTCAGGAAACCAGTGATTATTTAATAGTTTGAATGGGATTCAAGGCAAGTATGATAATTGCACCTAAATTATAATTTCCAAAATATAATTTGCACCCAAAATATAATTTGCCAAAGTGACGAGTTGCAAAGATCTCAGGAAATCAGTGATTAATAGATGGAATGGAATTCACGATAGGTGTGAGGATTGCACCCAAAATATAATTTCCACAATATAATTTGCAACCAAAATATAATTTGCACCCAAAATATAATTTCCACAATATAATTTGCACCCAAAATATTATTTGCCAAAGCGACGAGTTGCAAAGATCTCAGGAAATCGGTGATTAATAGATTAAATGGAATTCAAGGCAAGTGTGATAATTGCACCCAAAATATAATTTGCAAAATATAATTTGCACCCAAAATATAATTTCCACAATATAATTTGCACACAAAATATTATTTGCCAAAGCGACGAGTTGCAAAGATCTCAGGAAATCAGTCATCATTAAATAGATTGAATGGAATTCAAGATAGGTGTGATAATTGCACCCAAAATATCATTTGCAAAATATAATTTGCACCCAAAATATAATTTGTACGAGATTCAAGATAGGTGTGATAATTGCACCCAAAATATCATTTGCAAAATATAATTTGCACCCAAAATATAATTTGTACGAGATTCAAGATAGGTGTGATAATTGCACCCAAAATATCATTTGCAAAATATAATTTGCACCCAAAATATAATTTGTACGAGATTCAAGATAGGTGTGATAATTGCACCCAAAATATCATTTGCAAAATATAATTTGCACCCAAAATATAATTTGTACGAGATTCAAGATAGGTGTGATAATTGCACCCAAAATATCATTTGCAAAATATAATTTGCACCCAAAATATAATTTGTACGAGATTCAAGATAGGTGTGATAATTGCACCCAAAATATCATTTGCAAAATATAATTTGCACCCAAAATATAATTTGTACGAGATTCAAGATAGGTGTGATAATTGCACCCAAAATATAATTTGCAAAATATAATTTGCACACAAAATATAATTTGCATCCAAAATATAATTTGGCAAAGCGACGTGTTGCAAAGATGTTAGGAAATCAGTGATTAGGAAATCAGTGAATGGGATTCAAGATAGTTGTGAGAATTCCACCCGAAACAGAATTTGTTTGTTTGGGTTTCACTGGCCTTAGGGTCAGTGGACTTTCCCTTCCCTTCCTTTCGGATGTGGCTTGGCCGGGCTCCTGTGTCCCCCTGCGCCCCTTTGCTCGCCCCGATGTCTTGTTTTGCAGGTTCTCCCTTGCTTTGCTTTTGGCTTTCGGCAGGGTGGGGGTGGGTGCCCTCGGTCCAAAAGCATGAAGGATGAGATCTCAAAGCCTTTTCCTGCAAGTTTAACCCTTTGTGCTTCTTTTCCCACCCCACAGATGGAGTTATCGTGGACGCCATCGTCCTGGAGGCTCCTTATACCAACATCAGAGACGCCGCAGCCAATATCCCCTTTACCAAAGTGAGTCTTTGTGTTCCAACATGGAACTATTGCTGGAGTGAATGGCCAAGAGTTGGAGCAATGGCTCTGGAGCAGGCCTGTTAGGAATTGTGGGAGTTGCAGTCCAAAACACCTGGAGGGCCCAAGTTGGCCCAGGCCTGCTCTGCACCTCCTGTTTTGTTGTGTTTGGAAAGAGAAACAGCGGTGAATGAATCAACATCGTGAGAATAGGTTGCTGTGAGTTTTCTGGGCTGTTTGGCCATGTTCCAGAAGCATTCTCTCCTGACGTTTCGCCCGCATCTATGACAGAACTCTTTTTCTGTTTGAGGCAAGTGTGACTGTTGCAATTAGCAAGCCTTATTAGAATTGAATAGCCTCGCATCTTCAAAGCCTGGCTGCTTCCTGCCCGAGGGGAATTATTCTTAGCATTGAATAGCCTTGCAGCTTCAAAACCTGGTTGCTTTCTGCCTGAAGAGAAATCTTAGCATTGAATAGACTTGCAACCTCAAAGCCTGGCTGCTTCCTGCCTGGGGGAATCCTTAGCATTGAATAACCTTGCAGCTTCAAAGCTTGGCTGCTTCCTTCCTGAGGGGAATCCTTAGCATTGAATAGCCTTGCAGCTACAAAGCCTGTCTGCTTCCTGCCTGAGGGGAATTATTCTTAGCATTGAATAGCCTTGCAGCCTCAAACCCTGGCTGCTTCCTGCCTGGGGGAATCCTTAGCATTGAATAGCTTTGCATCTTCAAAGCCTGGTAGAGCACCCATAGATGTGGGTGAAACATCAGGAGATAATGCTTCTGGAACATGGCCTGACAGCCTGGAAAACTCACAGCAGCCCTGTGATGTTTCCCATCTTTCCCTTCTTTTTCCCCCTTTTAAAATAGTTTGTTTGAGTTACTTTTTTCTCTCTTTTTTTTTTGAAAATAAAATAAATATTTACACAAAACAAAACAAATAAACTTGCTCCTTTTTGGGATTGCAACTTCCAGAATCCTATAGCCGGGCTGGTTGGTGGCCATGCACATTGGGGGATTCAAAAGCACCCCAAAAGCTTCTGTTCCGTTGCCACCCATTCAGAAGTAACTCTCTGTGGGAAAGGGTTATCAAAGCTATTATGTGTGAAGCCACAATCCTTTCGCCATTTCTATTGCAAGGGACAATGCAAGGGGCTGGAAAAGTATGCTTGCTATGGCTCTTTGGAGTTTCCATCAGTGGAAAACCGTCAGTTTCGTGCCTTCCATGATATATTTTTCCTTTCTTTCCCAACAGATCTACCGCAAGTTTCCTGGTTTTAAATATTTTGTCTTGGACACAATGGCCCGAGCTGACATGTACTTTGAAAATGATAAAAAGTAAGCTCTTGTTTGCGTTCCTTCCTTCCTGCCTATCTGTCAGTGTTTGTACTTATCTATCTCTTTTCTATCTATCTATCTATCTATCTATCTATCTATCTATCTATCTATCTATCTATCTAGCCAGTCATCCAATTATGTGTATATCTATCTGTCTGTCTCTCTATCATTCCTCTCTCCCTACAACCATCCATCCATCCATCCATCCATCCATCCATCCATCCATCCATCTCACCATCTATCTGTCTATCTATCTATTCTCTCTCTATCATTTTACTATCTATCCTCTGTCCGTCCATCCATATATCTATTTATCCCTCCATCCATTGATCTACTGATTCATCCGTCTGTCCATCTGTCCATCCATCCATCTATTTATCCATCCATCCAACTATCCATTTATCCATCCATCTATCTTTCTTTCTTTCTATTCTTCCATCCATCTGTCCATCCATCCATCTATTTATCCATCCATCCAACTATCCATTTATCCATCCGTCTGTCCATCCATCCATCTCTTTTTCCATCTATCCATCCATCCATCCATCTATCTTTCTATCCATCCATCCTTTCATCCTTCCATCCACCCATCCATTGATCTATCCATCCATCCATCCATCCATCCATATATCTTTTTATCCCTCCATCCATTGATCTATTGATCCATCCATCTGTCCATCCATCCATCTATTTATCCATCCATCCAACTATCCATTTATCCATCCATCTGTCCATCCATCCATCTCTTTTTCCATCTATCCATCCATCCATCCATCTATCTATCTTTCTATCCATCCCATTCATCCTTCCATCCATCCATCCACCCATCCATTGATCTATCCATCTGTCTTTCCATCCATCCATCCATCCATCCATCCATCCATCCATCCATATATCTATTTATCCCTCCATCCATTGATCTATTGATCCATCTGTCCATCCATCCATCTATCTGTTTATCCATCCATCCATCCATCCATCCATCCATCTATCCATCCATCTGTCCATCTCATTATCCATCTATCCATCCATCCATTTATCTAACTATCCATCCATCTATCTATCTTTCTTTCTACCCATCCATCCTTTCATCCACCCATCCATTGATCTATCCATCCATCTGTCCATCCATCCAGTGATTATTATGAATGATCTGAATGCATCATTTGAAAATACATCACATAGTCCTAGACGCTTGGGAAGTGTTCGACTTGTGATTTTGTGATACGAAATCCAGCATATAGATCTCGTTTGCTGTGACATACTCTGCTTTTGTGTCAGTAAAATAATAATAATAAACTTTATTTAAACCCTGCCACCATCTCCCCAATGGGGACTCAGGGCGGCTAACATGAGGCCGAGCCCAAAAATAATACAACAAAATAATATACAAAACAATAGAAAATTAAACACAACATGGATGGATGGATGGATGGATGGATAGTTAGATCAATGGATGGATAGAAGGACAGATGGATAGTTAGATCAATGGATTGATGGATAGAAAGATAGATGGATGAATAGAAGGACAGATGGATAGATGGATAGTTAGATCAATGGATGGATGGATAGATAAATAGATGGATGAATTGATGGATAGAAAGATAGATGGATAGAAGGACAGACGGACAGATGGATAGATGGCTAGTTAGATCAATGGATGGATGGATAAATAGATGGATGGATTGAGGGATAGAAAGATAGATGGATGGATGGATAGAAGGACAGATGGATAGTTAGATCAATGGATGGATGGATGGATGGATAGATGGATGGATGGATGGATGGAAGGACAGATAGACAGATGGACAGATGGATAGTTAGATCAATGGATGGATGGATAGATAAATAAATAGATGGATGGATTGATGGATGGATGGATAGAAAGATGGATGGATAGAAGGACAGACGGACAGATGGATAGATGGCTAGTTAGATCAATGGATGGATGGATGGATGGATGGATGGATGGATGGATGGATAGATAGATAGATAGATAGATAGATAGATAGATAGATGATAGATGGATGGATGGATGGATAGAAAGATAGATGGATGAATAGAAGGACAGATGGATAGATGGATAGTTAGATCAATGGATGGATGGATAGATAAATAGATGGATGAATTGATGGATAGAAAGATAGATGGATAGAAGGACAGACGGACAGATGGATAGATGGCTAGTTAGATCAATGGATGGATGGATAAATAGATGGATGGATTGAGGGATAGAAAGATAGATGGATGGATGGATAGAAGGACAGATGGATAGTTAGATCAATGGATGGATGGATGGATGGATGGAAGGACAGATAGACAGATGGACAGATGGATAGTTAGATCAATGGATGGATGGATAGATAAATAAATAGATGGATGGATTGATGGATGGATAGAAAGATGGATGGATAGAAGGACAGACGGACAGATGGATAGATGGCTAGTTAGATCAATGGATGGATGGATGGATGGATGGATGGATGGATGGATGGATGGATAGATAGATAGATAGATAGATAGATAGATAGATAGATAGATGGATTGATGGATAGAAAGATGGATGGATGGATAGAAGGACAGACGGACAGATGGATAGATGGCTAGTTAGATCAATGGATGGATGGATGGATGGATGGATGGATGGATGGATGGATGGATAGATAGATAGATAGATAGATAGATAGATAGATAGATGGATTGATGGATAGAAAGATGGATGGATGGATAGAAGGACAGACGGACAGATGGATAGATGGCTAGTTAGATCAATGGATGGATGGATGGATGGATGGATGGATGGATGGATGGATAGATAGATAGATATGGAGAGAGAGAGACAGATTGATGGATAGAAAGATAGATGGATGGATAGGACAGACGGACAGATGGATAGATGGCTAGTTAGATCAATGGATGGATGGATGGATGGATGTGGTTGATTTTATTTTGTCTTATTTTATTTTATTATGTGTGTCTTAATCTATTTTTTGGGCTTCTCCCCTTGTAAGCCGCCCTGAGTCCCTTCGGGGAGATGGTGGCATGGTATAAACATAAAGTTATTATTATAATATTATTATATTTTGGATAAATAGATAGATGGACAGATGGATATTTAGATCAAAAAGGTGGGGCGGCGGAGGATGACTCAGGACCGTCCCTGTAAAATAGGGAATGAAAATGCATGTAAACACACAATCCTTCAGGAAAGGGAAGTGCCAGTGTTTTGCCTTGCACCGTTTCACTGAGACAGCGTTTGTGCTGGAACCAGAGCCATTTGTTTTTCAGAGCGCTATTGATGGCGACTTGATGGTGCGGTCAGCTATGAAAGGCACACTTGCCTGATTGTTCTCTTTGTCCGGCAGACTTTAAAAAAAACATTTTTTTTGGCTGTGCTTTGTGTATATGGAGACGGCTGTCACAAATTGTCAGACTGCTTGGCCCCCTTTGGGTTTTTAGACTGGGAATGGGCAAACATTCAATGCCATAGACACACAACTTATATAGACAAACACAGAGGCAATTTTAACATTCCAGCTTCATGAGGGTATGCTCAAATTCCGGCCACTGGGGAAGCTGTTGCTTCACTGTCCACTTGTGGCACCGAGACAAGTGAAAACTGGTGAAAACTCTGGTGCTTTGCTTCTACAGTGTTGCTAAAGTTCTGGTGGTGAAACTTTCAGAACTCTAACACAACTTTCAAAATCTATATATATACAAATGCTCTGTGCATAATGAGTACCTTAAAAACAAAAGAACCAATGAATGAAATCCCACCCTCCCTTGGCCCCCCCACCGTTCCTCCCCCCGGCGGCTCCTCCCTCCCCCACCTTATGCTGTTGTATTTGGGAGGTTGTCGTTGTGGGGATTCTAGTTCACCTTCATCCCCGCGATCTGACCTCCCCCCGCAATGGCATGCACCCCCACTTGACCCCCGGCTCCCCTGCCCACCGGAAATATGGCAGTGTTTGGTGGGCATTGCGCTTGCGTTTTGGGAGTTTCGTTCACTCCCTCCAGCGCGACTGGGCCCCCCCCATGAGGCTGGCCCCCTTGGCACGCATCTTCATCTGGCCAAATCTGCCCCAGCTGGCTTTTGGGGGCCCCCCTTGGACATTTTGGTATTGTTCTTGCTGGGATTAAGTTCACCTCCCATCCCAGCCTTCGCATGAACCCCCAACAGTCCCGAATCGGGCCCATCCCACACAGACCCCCCATGACCAATAGCCACTATTTCAGGGCCCAGTCCAACTCCCTTCACCGAGGCAAGAAAACGTCCTCCTGACAGAGAGCCATCCAGCCATAGATATAAATAGATAGATATGATTCACACACAGAGAGATAAAGTATTATAGATTTGAAAGGGACTCCTAAAGATGGACAATTATATGTTGCATGTTCCAGAGTGAGCAAATCAGACAATCTCTACGTCAGCACTGTCAAAGAAACATCAAGAAATACTGTTTGCCCATAAGCAGAAAGACATGACATATATTAGAAACCAGCACTTTCAAATTACTTTATTTTCCATATCACCAGATTGGGCCACAGCAAAGCGTGGCAGGGGACCGCTAGTTTCATTATAAATAGCAGTTCCTAATAGGTTCTGTCATAAAAATCATGAATAATGAAATAATAATGAAATTTTGAAAGTTTTGTTAGAGTTCTGAAATTTTCACCACCAGAACTTTAGCAAGACTGTAGAAGCAAAGCACCAGCGCCCCCTAGCTTTCACAACCAGAACTTTAGCTTTGTAAGTACTTTAGAACCATTTAGAAACATGGATTGCACATGCCTAATGCGTATATGTGTGTGTGTATTTGTGTATAAGTTTGTTTGTGTGTATATGTCGTTTTGTGTATGTGTTGTAATGTATTTTTTTTTTGGCTTTTTAACTCTCTTCTGTTGTGTTTTCTAGTGTTTTTATGAGTGATGATCACTCGTTGACCTGATAGGTGTCTTGTGTCCAAATTTGGTCTCAATTTGTCCAGTGGTTTTTGAGTGATGTTAATCCCACGAAATAACATTACAATTTTATTTATATAGAAGACAGTAGATAGAATCACATCGTATGTCGGAGGTGACTTTGAACAAACCCAAAATTTAGTCCCCATTTCCTTTTTTTTTTTTATCTCCCTCCAGTGTCAAAATCTTATCCAGTCCTCTCTTGATCTTGCACTCGGAAGATGATAAAGTCATACCTGTGCAGTTGGGGAAAAAGGTAAGCTCTAGGGGTATTTTGGTTTGTTTTCAAAGGGCGGGGGGAGTGACAACAAGTGAAAATATATGGCTGGTTGGTTGTCACCACCTGCTGACTATACATTTCACTTTGTGTTGTTTCCTGAAGCATGCTGCCATTCCTTCTTATGACTCTGGGATTTGTAGTTTGGTGAAGCACCAGAACTTTTTTTTGGGTGACAGAGGAGGCTAAAGCCCTTGTAGAACTATAGCTCCCAGAATTCCATAATCTGAAGCCATAGCTGTTCAAGTGTTGCCAAACTGCATGAACTCTACAGTATAGATCAGGCATGGGTAAACTTAGGCCCTCCCTGTTTTTTGGACTCCAACTCTCACAATTCCTCATGTGGTGGTTGGTAAATGTGAATAAGCAGAAGCTTTACCACAGTATTTAAGCCCAAGATATACCCCGCAGTATAATAAAATGTCACTCAGGCTCGTGTAACAGGGAACAGCATCTTTACTGTTCAAAAGTTCAAAAGTTCCAACAGGGTAAGAATATATATATATATATATATATATATATATATACACACACACAAACACACCAGTCTCTCTGAATTCAGAAAGAATAGAATAGTCCTTTTAAATAGTCTTTAAAATAAGCCTCCTGCCTTAAAATGATCAGTGTTTAAGATAGTTGGCAGCCAGCAATCTCTTCTTCACTGTTGAAAAGTGAGAAATGGCAGTTAGAACCGTTGGTCTCAGCAGCAAGCCAGAGGCAGCAGCCAATCAGAATGATGGCCCCTGGCACGCTCAGTCAATCAGCTGCTGGCACATGTCTCTCAAGTTAACCCACCATATCATGGTGTCCTTTTTCATATCCTCACACCTCAGGGCCTGAAGCTGTTAGGAATTGTGAGAAATGGCAGTTAGAACCGTTGGTCTCAGCAGCAAGCCAGAGGCAGCAGCCAATCAGAATGCTGGCCCCTGGCACGCTCAGTCAATCAGCTGCTGGCACATGTCTCTCAAGTTAACCCACCATATCATGGTGTCCTTTTTCATATCCTCACACCTCAGGGCCTGAAGCTGTTAGGAATTGTGAGAAATGGCAGTTAGAACCGTTGGTCTCAGCAGCAAGCCAGAGGCAGCAGCCAATCAGAATGCTGGCCCCTGGCACGCTCAGTCAATCAGCTGCTGGCACATGTCTCTCAAGTTAACCCACCATATCATGGTGTCCTTTTTCAAATCCTCACACCTCAGGGCCTGAAGCTGTTAGGAATTGTGAGAAATGGCAGTTAGAACTGTTGGTCTCAGCAGCAAGCCAGAGGCAGCAGCCAATCAGAATGCTGGCCCCTGGCACGCTCAGTCAATCAGCTGCTGGCACATGTCTCTCAAGTTAACCCACCATATCATGGTGTCCTTTTTCAAATCCTCACACCTCAGGGCCTGAAGCTGTTAGGAATTGTGAGAAATGGCAGTTAGAACCGTTGGTCTCAGCAGCAAGCCAGAGGCAGCAGCCAATCAGAATGCTGGCCCCTGGCACGCTCAGTCAATCAGCTGCTGGCACATGTCTCTCAAGTTAACCCACCATATCATGGTGTCCTTTTTCATATCCTCACACCTCAGGGCCTGAAGCTGTTAGGAATTGTGAGAAATGGCAGTTAGAACCGTTGGTCTCAGCAGCAAGCCAGAGGCAGCAGCCTTTTTCAGATCCTCACACCTCAGGGCCTGAAGCTATTAGGAATTGTGGGAGTTTGAGTCCAAAACACCTGGAGGTCCAAAGTTGGACTATGCCTGATCTAGAGTCTGCTTGGGTGTTAGAAGTCTGACATTCAAAACAATCATGTTTTCTACACTCATAGGTCTTTGAAATTGCTCACAACGCCTCCGAGAAGAAAGACCACGTCCAGTTTATTCCCTTCCCTGCCTCCATGGGCTTGGGCCACGACTACATTGCCGCCAACCCTGAACTTGCATCTATTCTCAAGTAAGTATGTCCAGGTCTCGGCTGTTATGAATAACTTTCCCACATTGGAAAAGAATATCCCACTTCTGACACCAATTTGTCAGAAATGACTTTTCAATCACTTTAAAGCATAGGTTCTTTTTATTACAATTTCCAGTGTGAGAAGGTAGGTCGGAACTTGGACAGAACTTTGACACGAAGAATGACATTGATCCTCATGCATCCAAAATGTATCATATCCTTTTCTCCCTCTTTGGAGAAGCACCTGTTAGGCCAGACCCTGATTTCCTGCAGCCTTTCCACCGCATAGTTCCAAAACTTCCATCTTCTATATCTATAAAAATGCTCTGTGAGTAATGAGTACCTTAAAAACAAAAGAACCAATGAACGGAATCACACCAAATTTGGCAACAAAACGTCTCACAACACAAGGAGTGACCATCACTCCAAAAATTGTGATTTTGTCATTTGGGAATTGTAGTTGCTGGGATTTATATTTCACCTCTAACCATAGAACATTCTGAACTCCACCAAAGATGGAATTGAACCAAACTTGGCACACAGAACTTCCATGACCAACAGAAAATATTGGAAGGGTCTGGTGGGCATTGACCTTGAGTTTGGGAGTTATAGTTCACCTACATCCAGAGAGCACTGTGGACTCAAACAAACCAAATTTGGCACACGCACTCAATACGCCCTAATATGAACACAGATGGGGTTTGGGGAAAATAGACCTTGACATTTGGGAGTTGTAGTCACTGGGATTCACAGTTCACCTACAATCGAAGGGCATTCTGAACCCCACCAACGACAGAATCGGGGCAAACGTCCCACCCAGAACCCCCATGACCAACAGAAAATACTTAAGGCCATCCAATCCAACTCATTTCACCAGAGGAAGAAAACATAATTAAAGTCCTCCTGACAAAGAGCCATCCAGCCATAGATATAGATATAGATATAGATATAGATATAGATATAGATTAGATAGATAGATAGATAGATAGATAGATAGATAGATAGATAGATAGATAGATAGAGAGTTGTAGTTGCTGGGATGTATAGTTCACCGACAATCAAATAGCATGATATAATTGAACCAACCGGGGAATACAGGACTCCCATGACCAATAGAAAACACTAGAAGCGTTTGGTAAGCATTGACCTTGAGTTTGGGAGTTGTAGTTCACCTACATCCAGAGACTACCATGGACTCAAACAGTGATGGATCTGGACCAAACTTGGCACGGATATTCCATATGCCCAGACATAAACACAGATGGAGTTTGGGGAAAATAGACCTTGACATTTGGGAGTTGTAGTTACTGGGATTTATAGTTCATCTACAATCAAAGCATGTTCTGAACCCCACCAACAGAACTGGGGCAAACTTCCCACACAGAAACCCCATACTTAAGGCCACCCAGTCCAACTCCCTTCACCAGGGCAAGAAAACGTAATCAAAGCCCTCCTGACAAAGAGCCATCCAGCCATAGATATAGATAGATATGATTCACACACACAAATATAGTATCATAGATTTGAAAGGGACCCCTGAAGAAAAACAATGACACTTTCTGATTACTTTATTTTCCATAAAGTAATCAGACTGGGCCACAGCAACGTGTGGCAGGGGACAGCTAGTAACTCCATAATGCCAAAATGCATCCTTTTCCTAAGCACAATGCCAAGGATCAGATCTCTGTTTTCTGTAGAGCAGAACCTGACTCCCTGCACAAAATCCAAGACTCCAAAAGCACACTTCTTCCTCTTTCCTTGAGAAAGAAGCCCCAAAGTGACCAGAATCGTGCTTTCCCATAGCTTATCTGACACCCTCCGAATATACCATCTCTCTCCTTCCCATGGAGTAGAGAGGCGGGTGAACCAGACTCCTCAGGTCTGCCACACTTTGAGCATTATTAGACTGAATCTTTTATAGGAATATTCTGCTGATGTCGTCCCAAGGTTGTAAATGAATGATAGACGTCTTCCATCCTGGCTCCATCTCAGTTTCCTGGCCAGATGTTGACTCTTCTTGATTGATGGTGACAAACACAAGGCTTGTGTTGACTTCCTTTTTAACATAACACATGTTGTAGACATTTCCTTAACTTGAAAGAACCATTATCACAGTTCTTATCAGAGTTTACTTTTCAGTTCTTATTAGCAACTTTTAATTACAGTCCAGCAACCAGGTAGTTAGTCATTGCAGGCCTTGGTCCTTTATTGGTGTTTCCAAAATTATTAACTCCATCCATACATTCTTCCATTCATTCCCACACACCATATTAAATTCACGTTTATTACCTGGCTGGCTTTGGTGGAATCATATGATTGTATAACTAACGTTATTGTTTTTAATCAATTGTGTATTTTATGGTTTTATATTATTACTAGCCACTTCCTGCCACATGTTGCTGTGGCCCAGTCTGCGTATATGTGTTTTGTGTGTGTATATATGTGTATATGTGGTTTTGCGCATACGTTGTAATGTTTTTTGGGAGTTTTTTGGCTTTTTAAGTCCCTTCTGCGGTGTTTTTCAGTGTTTTTATGAGTGATGGTCACTTGTTGGCTTGATAGGTGTCTTGTGTCCAAAATTAGTGTCCATTTGTCCAGTGCGGCATCGAATTGTTGCCAGTGTTAGCTGCTCTGAGTCCCCCTTCGGGGGTTGAGAAGGGTGGGGTAGAATGTGTTGTAAATAATCTATATCTATAAATTTCCTACTGGCGTCCAACGGGGAAGCAAAACTCTAAAACCCCTGCACAAAACTCCACCAAAATTGCCATGAGACGGAGAAAAGATGAGAAGGAACGTAGTTTTCGAGCGTTCTCATGTACAGAAGAGACGCGAAAGAAGGGTGGTGGAAGTGGGGAAAAGATATCATGACATCGTCCCAATGACGTCAGTTACGTCTGGGAAGAAGGGATAGAGAGATCGATCGAAGCTTATGAGAAAAGGAGATGCAAGATACTTAATCTCTGGGAATATAGGTATGCGTAGGGGACTTTAAGCACGTGTGAGAGATGTTTTGTATTTCTCTTTGTCTCAATGGATCGAGAGAGTGGCGTCCGGGAAAGGGCGGGAGAGACAAGACAAGGAAAGAGAGAACCAAGGAATGCTGAGAAAAGATATTTGTTCAGTTTCTCCAAAGGATCGCGTCAAAGGAAGGAGTTGTCGGAGAGAGAAAGAGCAATAAAGAAGAGAGAAGACGAAAAGAAGAATTAGGGGGGGAGTCGCACGGAATAGAGGAGAAGTGATGTTGCGAAGAGCAAGAACGATCGACGTCATGAGAGTTATCGGGAAAGAGAATGATATCGAAAGGAACACGGTGAGAGTATGTGCGACCTAACACAGGGCAGCTGTAAGGGATCTTAGAACGAAAGCAGCGGGAAAGGAAGGATTGGGATCTCCCCTTGGTGAGGACGCAGATGTGAGAGAGAGAAAGAGGGGAAAGGAAGGAGTGTGAGAGAGAGAAAGAGGGGAAAGGAAGGAGTGTGAGAGAGAGAAAGAGGGGAAAGGAAGGAGTGTGAGAGAGAGAAAGAGGGGAAAGGAAGGAGTGTGAGAGAGAGAAGAGAAAGAGGGGAAAGGAAGGAGTGTGAGAGAGAGAAAGAGGGGAAAGGAAGGAGTGTGAGAGAGAGAAAGAGGGGAAAGGAAGGAGTGTGAGAGAGAGAAAGAGGGGAAAGGAAGGAGTGTGAGAGAGAGAAAGAGGGGAAAGGAAGGAGTGTGAGAGAGAGAAAGAGGGGAAAGGAAGGAGTGTGAGAGAGAGAAAGAGGGGAAAGGAAGGAGTGTGAGAGAGAGAAAGAGGGGAAAGGAAGGAGTGTGAGAGAGAGAAAGAGGGGAAAGGAAGGAGTGTGAGAGAGAGAAAGAGGGGAAAGGAAGGAGTGTGAGAGAGAGAAAGAGGGGAAAGGAAGGAGTGTGAGAGAGAGAAAGAGGGGAAAGGAAGGAGTGAGAGAGAGAGAAAGAGGGGAAAGGAAGGAGTGAGAGAGAGAGAAAGAGGGGAAAGGAAGGAGTGTGAGAGAGAGAAAGAGGGGAAAGGAAGGAGTGTGAGAGAGAGAAAGAGGGGAAAGGAAGGAGTGTGAGAGAGAGAAAGAGGGGAAAGGAAGGAGTGAGAGAGAGAGAAAGAGGGGAAAGGAAGGAGTGTGAGAGAGAGAAAGAGGGGAAAGGAAGGAGTGTGAGAGAGAGAAAGAGGGGAAAGGAAGGAGTGTGAGAGAGAGAAAGAGGGGAAAGGAAGGAGTGAGAGAGAGAGAAAGAGGGGAAAGGAAGGAGTGAGAGAGAGAAAGAGGGGAAAGGAAGGAGTGTGAGAGAGAGAAAGAGGGGAAAGGAAGGAGTGAGAGAGAGAGAAAGAGGGGAAAGGAAGGAGTGTGAGAGAGAGAAAGAGGGGAAAGGAAGGAGTGAGAGAGAGAGAAAGAGGGAAAGAGAGAGAGAGAAAGAGGGGAAAGGAAGGAGTGTGAGAGAGAGAAAGAGGGAAAGAGAGAGAGAAAGAGGGGAAAGGAAGGAGTGTGAGAGAGAGAAAGAGGGAAAGAGAGAGAGAAAGAGGGGAAAGGAAGGAGTGAGAGAGAGAAAGAGGGAAAGAGAGAGAGAAAGAGGGAAAGAGGGGAAAGGAAGGAGTGTGAGAGAGAGAAAGAGGGGAAAGGAAGGAGTGTGAGAGAGAGAAAGAGGGGAAAGGAAGGAGTGTGAGAGAGAGAAAGAGGGGAAAGGAAGGAGTGTGAGAGAGAGAAAGAGGGGAAAGGAAGGAGTGAGAGAGAGAGAAAGAGGGGAAAGGAAGGAGTGTGAGAGAGAGAAAGAGGGGAAAGGAAGGAGAGAGAGAGAAAGAGGAAAGGAAGGAAGGAGGAGAGAGAGAAAGAGGGGAAAGGAAGGAGTGTGAGAGAGAGAAAGAGGGGAAAGGAAGGAGTGAGAGAGAGAGAAAGAGGGGAAAGGAAGGAGTGTGAGAGAGAGAAAGAGGGGAAAGGAAGGAGTGTGAGAGAGAGAAAGAGGGGAAAGGAAGGAGTGTGAGAGAGAGAAAGAGGGGAAGAGAAAGAAGGAAGGAGAGAGAGAAAGAGGGAAAGGAAGGAGGCAGGAATGGAAGGATGGAGGGAGAGAGAGAAAGAGAAGAAGAGGGAGAGAAGAGAGAAAGAGGGGAAAAAGGAAGAGAAGGAGGGAGAGGAGAGGAGAGAAAGGAAGGAGGAGAGAGAGGGAGGAAAGGAAGAGAGTGAGAGAGAGAGAAAGAGGGAAAGAAAGGAGTGTGTGAGAGAGAAAGAGGGAAAGAAGAGGGAAAGAAAGAGAGAAAGAGGGGAAAGGAAGGAGTGTGAGAGAGAGAGAGAAAGAGAGAAAGAGGGGAAAGGAAGGAGTGTGAGAGAGAGAAAGAGGGGAAAGGAAGGAGTGTGAGAGAGAGAAAGAGGGGAAAGGAAGGAGTGTGAGAGAGAGAAAGAGGGGAAAGGAAGGAGTGTGAGAGAGAGAAAGAGGGAAAGAGGGCGAGTGAAGGAAGGAAGAGAGGCCAGGCAGAGACTTCAAAAGTCTTACTAAAGGCCACAGCAACGCGTGGCAGGGCACAGCTAGTAAATACATAAATAAATAAATGTGATGAAGTGGTAAAAGTGAGCCAAACAACTGTGGACATTGTGTAACACTGTCTCTGACTAAACCAATTTGTTTTTTCTGCCCCAACAGAAACTTCCTCAAGAGCGTTAAGTGACACCTTCTTTGCCAAATCCGCTCACAACTTTGAGACCACGCATCACATCCTCGCACACCAGCAAGGAGACTTTCCATTCCAGAACTGCCACTGATATAATAATAATAATTATTATTCTAAATAAAAGAAACTACGACGACAAATGTGGGTTTCATTTTATTTTTGTCATGCAGATTTTTTTTCCAGGAATGTACGATCCTACATTGGAAGCAACTAGACAGTGTGCGATGAATGGGGCGGTAACAACACAGAGAGATGTTTTGGGGCTCTGCCAAGAATTGGGATGCTTTGCACAGATGCCGCTACACGTGCACCAAGCCGGGAGCTGCTGAGCACACAAATGGCAATTTCCCGAAGAAACGTCGTAGCACCTGATATGTAGACCGCACCTGTGATATACCGCAGGGTATATTGTTTAAAGCACATCGGTCAGGCTATTTGGAAAGATACAGGCAAGGTGGAGCTGGCTGTTAATCTAAAACTCTCAACGGATTAATGACAGACACAATAACTTTTGCCCTGCTCTTATCTCTGGCTTCAAAGACAGCAAATGTTTGACTTCCCCACACCCGTCTCTTTCTCTCTAGGATCATGGAAACTGGTTTTGCAAAGAATGCACAGAGACTCCAAATGGGAGAAACTCTTGTTCTGCACCGAAACTAAATTTAAAACTGCAAAGCATGCACTTGCCGCCCAGTCTGCATTTCTGCATTTCGCCCAAAGCCCCTCCCATTACACGCAATATAAAGAAACAACACGTAGCATCTACTACTGTTATTCACTAGGCAATGATGGGGATGTGCTTCCCATCCCTCTCCGGATTCACATGTGCAGCTTCCCTGTGGCGTCGTTGGCCAGCATCTCGTCGGCCACGTCCCGGGGCACGTTGGGAGGGGGGATCCGCAGGTCGGAGGGCTCCACGCCCCAGATGTCCCGCGCGTACTCCTTGATGGTCCTGTCGCTGGAGAACTTCCCCGAGGAAGCAATGTTCCGGATCACCATCTTGGTCCACTCCTTGGAGTTCTGCAAAGGAAACCACCTCTTAAGAATCTGACCCACATCAGGAGAAATGTCTGATTTCTATATACCAGGCATGGACTAACTTGGGCCCTCCCTCCATATGTTTTGGACTACAGCTCCCACAACATGGGTATGCAGATGCCCCCTTGATTGACTTAAGTGTCCTGTTCCAATAGAACAATGGCATGGACCAACTTGGGCCCTCCTTCCAGGCGTTTTGGACTTTAACTCCCAAACATGGGTATGCAGATGATCCCTTGATTGACTTAAGTGTCCGGTTCCAAGAGAACCAGGGCATGGGTCAACTTGGGCCCTCCCTCCAGGTGTTTTGGACTTCAACTCCCACAACTTGGGTATGCAGATGATCCCTTGATTGACTTAAGTGTCCGGTTCCAAGAGAACCAGGGCATGGGTCAACTTGGGCCCTCCCTCCAGGTGTTGTGAACTTCAACTCCCACAACTTGGATATGCAGATGATCCCTTGATTGACTTACGTGTCCGGTTCCAAGAGAACAAGGGCATGGGTCAACTTGGGCCCTCCCTCCATATGTTTTGGACTTCAACTCCCACAACATGGATATGCAGATGATCCCTTGATTGACTTAAGTGTCCGGTTCCAAGAGAACCAGGGCATGGGTCAACTTGGGCCCTCCCTCCAGGTGTTTTGGACTTCAACTCCCACAACATGGATATGCAGATGATCCCTTGATTGACTTAAGTGTCCGGTTCCAAGAGAACAAGGGCATGGACCAACTTGGGCCCTCCCTCCAGGTGTTTTGGACTTTATCTCCCACAACATGGGTATGCAGATGATCCCTTGATTGACTTATGTGTCCGGTTCCAAGAGAACAAGGGCATGGGTCAACTTGGGCCCTCCCTCCATGTGTTTTGGACTTCAACTCCCACAACATGGGTATGCAGATGATCCCTTGATTGACTTAAGTGTCCAGTTCCAAGAGAACAAGGGCATGGGTCAACTTGGGCCCTCCCTCCAGGTGTTTTGGACTTCAACTCCCACAACGTGGGTATGCAGATGATCCCTTGATTGACTTAAGTGTCCGGTTCCAAGAGGACAATGGCATGACCCAACTTTGGCCCTCCCTCCAGGTGTTTTGGACTTCAACTCCCACAACATGGCTATGCAGATGATCCCTTGATTGACTGAAGTGACCATTTCCAAGAGGACAAAGACATGGGTCAACTTGGACCCTCCCTCCAGGAGTTTTGGACTTACTCCCACAACATGGATATGCAGATGATCCCTTGATTGACTTAAGTGTCCGGTTCCAAGAGAACAAGGGCATGGGTCAACTTGGGCCCTCCCTCCATGTGTTTTGGACTTCAACTCCCACAACGTGGGTATGCAGATGATCCCTTGATTGACTTAAGTGTCCGGTTCCAAGAGAACAAGGGTATGGACCAAATTGGGCCCTCCCTCCAGGTGTTTTGGACTTCAACTCCCACAACATGGATATGCAGATGATCCCTTGATTGACTTAAGTGTCCGGTTCCAAGAGAACAAGGGCCAACTAGAGCCTTCCCTCCAGGTGTTTTGGACCCCCAACTCCCATAACGTGGGTATGCAGATGATCCTTTGATTGACTTAAGTGTCCAGTTCCAAGGGGACAAAGACATGGGCCAACTAGGGCCTTCCCTCCAGGTGTTTTGGACTTCAACTCCCACAACATGGGTATGCAGATGATCCCTTGATTGACTTAAGTGTCCGGTTCCAAGAGAACAAGGGCATGGGTCAACTTGGGCCCTCCCTCCATGTGTTTTGGACTTCAACTCCCACAACGTGGGTATGCAGATGATCCCTTGATTGACTTAAGTGTCCAGTTCCAAGAGAACAAGGGTATGGACCAAATTGGGCCCTCCCTCCAGGTGTTTTGGACTTCAACTCCCACAACATGGATATGCAGATGATCCCTTGATTGACTTAAGTGTCCGGTTCCAAGAGAACAAGGGCATGGGTCAACTTGGGCCCTCCCTCCATGTGTTTTGGACTTCAACTCCCACAACTTGGGTATGCAGATGATCCCTTGATTGACTTAAGTGTCCGGTTCCAAGAGAACCAGGGCATGGGTCAACTTGGGCCCTCCTTCCAGGTGTTTTGGACTTCAACTCCCACAACATGGATATGCAGATGATCCCTTGATTGACTTAAGTGTCCGGTTCCAAGAGAACAAGGGCATGGGTCAACTTGGGCCCTCCCTCCAGGTGTTTTGGACTTCAACTCCCACAACTTGGGTATGCAGATGATCCCTTGATTGACTTAAGTGTCCGGTTCCAAGAGAACCAGGGCATGGGTCAACTTGGGCCCTCCCTCCAGGTGTTTTGGACTCCAACTCCCACAATGTGGGTATGCAGATGATCCCTTGATTGACTGAATTGTCCAGTTCCAAGAGGACAAAGACATGGGCCAACTTGGGCCCTCCCTCCAGGTTTTTTGGACTCCAATTCCCACAACATGGGTATGCAGATGATCCCTTGATTGACTTAAGTGTCCAGTTCCAAGAGAACAAGGGCATGGGTCAACTTGGGCCCTCCCTCCAGGTGTTTTGGACTTCAACTCCCACAACATGGGTATGCAGATGATCCCTTGATTGACTTAAGTGTCCGGTTCCAAGAGAACCAGGGCATGGGTCAACTTGGGCCCTCCCTCCAGGTGTTTTGGACTTCAACTCCCACAACATGGATATGCAGATGATCCCTTGATTGACTTAAGTGTCCGGTTCCAAGAGAACAAGGGCATGGGTCAACTTGGGCCCTCCCTCCAGGTGTTTTGGACTTCAACTCCCACAACTTGGGTATGCAGATGATCCCTTGATTGACTTAAGTGTCCGGTTCCAAGAGAACCAGGGCATGGGTCAACTTGGGCCCTCCTTCCAGGTGTTTTGGACTTCAACTCCCACAACGGGTATGCAGATGATCCCTTGATTGACTTAAGTGTCCAGTTCCAAGAGAACAAGGGTATGGACCAAATTGGGCCCTCCCTCCAGGTGTTTTGGACTTCAACTCCCACAACATGGATATGCAGATGATCCCTTGATTGACTTAAGTGTCCGGTTCCAAGAGAACAAGGGCATGGGTCAACTTGGGCCCTCCCTCCAGGTGTTTTGGACTTCAACTCCCACAACTTGGGTATGCAGATGATCCCTTGATTGACTTAAGTGTCCGGTTCCAAGAGAACCAGGGCATGGGTCAACTTGGGCCCTCCTTCCAGGTGTTTTGGACTTCAACTCCCACAACATGGATATGCAGATGATCCCTTGATTGACTTAAGTGTGGTTCCAAGAGTACAAAGGCATGGACCAACTCAGGTCCTCCCTCCAGGTGTTTTGCACTTCAACTCCCACAACTAACTGTACCAGCTGTTAGGAATTGTGGGAGTTGAAGTCCAAAACACATGGATGGAGGGCCAAAGTTTGCTCAGGCCTGTTCTAAATGTTTACATCGAATCTCTTCTCGCAATTCGAACACATGCTTCCACTATTTTAATCTCTGGAACAGCAAAACGCAAGTTTACTCCATTTCCTAAATAACATATTTTCAATTATGTAAAGATGGCAATCATGGCAATCACGGCAATCAAAGTGTCGTCAAATTGCATTTATTCTACAATGCAGATGCATCCTTTGTTACCCCTTTCCAGCTTGTCAATACCTGTCTTGAACTATGGTGGCCCAGAGTGAAATGGCATTGTAGTTGACCACTGGAAACCCTTGGCTTGGTCAATTGAGAATGCTTGGGTTGCCCATCCAAAGTCTGACCACAAAGATGCCACCTCCCAGACCTTGCTTACCATGTAGAGCTGACTGACTTTGTCTTGACATCTGACGTAGGCTTCGTAGTCTGCAAAGACTTTGAACCTGTCCAAAGAAATAGAGAATTTGTGTGTAAGTTAAGTATATTCATGAGTCATTCCAAAGTCAGGATGACTAGGCAAGCCTTAGTGACTGATGTAACCACGAGGCAATTCATCGTCTAATGGAATTATGGAGTAATCCTGAGATCGGAGGTGACACCCACTCCCCCAGGACTCTGTAAAAGATAGTTCAAAATCAGGGACTTACTTACTTTACTTACTTAGGCGATCCCTCATTGGCCGAGTAGGATAGTC